TTTCTATGTAAATTTATACAAAGTAAACTGCAAGTAGTAACTTAGTCAGTGTTCTTTGTTGAAGATGCAGAGAAATGTTGCTCTGTGAATTGTTTGATAATCCATCAATGGCTGAAGGTTGATGCAAAGAAAGTAGAAACGAAAACTTGCATGTCACACATTAGCATAATAAGATACATAATAAAATATGACTGAGCCAGTGAAGGACAAGTAAATCTCCACCTACTCTGATGCCTACCTGTGAGCTGAAGAAAAAAATGAAAACATTTTGAATTTAAGTCTTTGACTCTACTTTGCAACAAGTGGTGGTGGCATTACCGCCTTAACAGAACAAAACACAAATACAGTAAGTTCTCTGTGAAATAGCTCACTGAACAAGTACAACAGTCAGTTTCCCTACAGGCAGGCTGCAGAGTCACTGGACTGGCTGTGTGGCAGCAGAGACATTTTCCTGATGAGGTGAAATAAATCCATCTTATTCAGAGTCCCCTCTTGCCAGCTGAGTCTAAATCCCATCCATAATTCCAAAGTTAAAGACGCTGAGCTTGACACCACCACACTGCTGCTGCATATAGAGAAAAGACAGACAACGACTCTGCCCTTCATTTGGACCCACCAGAGTGCTACAAATACCCATATTATAAAGTCAGCAGCTCAGCAGCACATGATCTGAATCCCCTGGAACAAACAGAAGGCCTTTTAGCTTTACACCAGCTCTGGATATCATTTTGAGAAGATATGATAGAATAGAGAGCAGACAGTTAGTAAGCTTAAGTTCATTCTGTTTGATTTTTCACAAAACAGAAAAAAAAATGGAGTTTGGGTTTTATAAATCATTCCTACATTCCTGAAAGTTAGAGCTTGTATAAATAAAAATACATCCTCGAGGTATAAGAATGGAGATTTTCTTCTGTGACTGATGACTTCCTTCCACTCAATAATTATTCTCAAGTAATTATAGGAATTTATCTGCTCCACAGTGTGCTCATTTCAGTTTTTAGATTCTTTTCAGTGAGTTTCCCTGAATGAGGAGTTTGTAAGAGTAACAGTACACAAGCATCAGAAAAACATATTCCTGATGCAGAGTTGCTAACTGAATATATTATTGTCATGAGTTGTGGGTGATGCCGGTGAGAGAAAATGCTGAGACCCAGATGATGAATTTAATAAAGAGAGCTCAAACACAGTCCAGCACAGGTGGCATGGCAGAAAGATTTGCACACAGCTAAATACCGGTAGCAACTGAAAGACAGAGGACTGAAAACGAGAGCTGAACCAACACAGGACTTTACAGTTCGACTGTGGTGGCAAGCAGACAAATGACGTACGACATACGACCAGGATTCAACAAGAGACAAAGACAACAGGTGGACTTAAATACACATGGGGTAATCAAGGGAACGAGACACACCTGGGAACAATCAACAGGAAGGACAGGACATCACAGAGACTCAGGGAACAGGGACACAGAAAAAAAAACAAGAAATTAATACACAAAAACACAGATCGTCAATTATTTGTAGTGGAACTATTAAACAACTTTAAATAATTTGACTGAAACATAGTTTTTAACTTCCTTTTTATGTACAAAATAACTTTAACACTGCAGCTCAGCTAGTGGCTTAAAGAAGATGACAAGAAGTGGTTCAAACTGCCATCAGCCTCAAAAGTTGCATTCTTTATAATTCTGTTTATTACATTTTTGTCACACAGCAGGAAGACTGACCTGTAAATCAAGAGCTTTGCTTTTTGGTTCAACTTTTTCTTCAGTACAACAGACTGGATCAGTGTGTGGATTACTGCAGACAAAGCCCAAATCTATATCTGTCCCTCTCCTGTTCTATCCTACCATGACTTATGAACTAGATACCCAGAAACTTCAGTGAGTAATGTACGAATCAGACCTAGAAGACGCACCACAACACGGACCACAACAGGTTAAACAAGTTTTATTTATTTAGAATGTACAAGAAGAATGACAGCTTCTTCTTCAGTTCAGCTTTCGGGTCAGACAGGTAGGCAGGCAACTGGAAAAACAACAGGAAGTGTTGTGTACCTGGCAAAGGTGGATTCCAAGGGAGTCCTCTACACAGACTTGGACTCAACAATCTTGAATTGTGGGAAATGTAACTGATGAAAAATGGAGGATGTCCATTTACTGCAGATTGTTTCTTCCACAGGACCGTTTAGAGGTAATCAGTCTATATACTGAAAACCGTTGATGATGTTGTCACAGAGTGTGGAAAGTCTGGTAGCAGGTTTAGGTTCACATTCACCTCACATTCATTCATGGGAGAAGGAGAAGTTACTTTGTCTGTAATCCACTCTGTGAAAAGAATGATGTCAGTTTGGCTCTGAGTGAGTCCAGAGCTTACAGCAGCAAAACCGGTGGGAGCAAACAGCAGCCAGCAGGAAACACAGGAACATCATGACAGACTCCTCTACTTCAGGAGGGGTGGTGGTCAGTCTGCCTCTAAGTTTTTCTGTTTGAGAACCAGGACCTCAGATTTACAGGAACTGACTCTCATCAGTTCAGTTCAAACTGGAGGTCAGAATCTGAAGAAGTCAATACTTATTACGAGAAAAACAAAAATGAGATCCTGAGGTCCAAACCACATTTCCTATTCTCTCACTTCTCCTCACCATAAAACAGGAACAGGCTCCTTTGTGCTGAGAATGTGGACACAGTGTAATATTGTGAAATGTATATTTTAAAACATTTATAACGTAAAGGATAATCTTTTATAACATGTTTATGAACAGATGGTAAACCTCTTATTATGATTATGTTAAAATTTAAGGAGTACAAAAAATAATTTAAGATTATTTATTTACTTATTTATATTTTTCAGAAAAGTGTTTCATGAATAAAAACCTTTTAGGTTTTCAGAAACAACAGAAAAGGATTCTGAACTTTGCATGTCATCTTTTAATCCTTTTCAATAATTTATCTTGTTTCTTCATTTGAGTATCAACAACAGTTTGTTGCAAGAATGTGAAACTAACATATCAGAGTCAAAGATGACACCTGGAACACATGAAGACTCTTCCACTCTTACACACACACAGTAGCTCTGGCAGTACAATAGGCCACACTCTACAGCACAAATGGATGTCAGGTTAAACACATTCACAGCATGAGCATGAACATTAACTTTCTTCAAAATAAGAGCACAACATGTTAAAATATTTTCCACGCAATTGCAAAGTTTAAAATAGAGCAGAAAACCATGTCTTATAAGGTTCTTAAAATATTTTTGCATTCAGTTAAAGTAAAAAAAAGACTTTGATTTGCCTTGAGCCAGTCAGTCTTTACAACAGCAATGAATACAGAATTCATTAAGCAGAAAAAACCCATCCACTCAGTGCAGTTTCCTTAGCTGTTACTATGAATAAACAAGTGTAAAATTAACTCCACACCTGTTTATCTGAAAAATAAACTAAGCAACAAAAATGTATATCATAAAGTATATTAACATTATAGATGTTAGAAGAGCTAAATTCATCTCTTACAAAAAAGTCAAAATATTATTGTTGCTCTTATTTTAACTTTTAATTTTATGTTTTCTCTTTGTTGTTTTAGAAGCTCCATCTGGTCTTGTGTTCTGTTTAGATGTGGTTCCTTCCTGGAGGACATCGGCTGCCAACAATCAATTGTTCTCTCTCTCTTGCCATTAATTTTTGACTTTTCATTAACGTAGAAAGTTTTTCTATTTGTTTTTTGTTTTCTCAAACCCCTAGTTGGTCATGACAGATGGTTGCTTGTACTGAGCCCATTTCTAGTTCTGCTGGAAGTTTCTTCTTGTTAAAGGAGAGTTTTTCCTCCTCACTGTCACTACATGCATACTTGGTATGAGGAATTGCTGTTAAGTCAAGCGATTGTCTACTGTTGCTACGTACTCATCCAAGAGAAGTGAATGCAGCAAGTGTATGACTTGATGCTATCGGCTGGTGCTTTTTTAAAAACTAATTTGAATAATGAACTGAACTTGAAACAAATTATTCTGTTTGATAACGAGAATAATTTTTGATTCCTTTATGATCGGATTGAAATAATATTTTTTTGTAAAGTGACTTAAAATGATGTGTTGTGAATTTGAGCTATATAAATAAACTGAATTCAATTGAATTAATTATATTTTTGTTTTCATTACATATTAATGTTTTATCTAACTTTGTAGAAGGCCTGGATACTTCACTAACAGGTGTGGTCACAACTTGCGTCCACTGTAATGTTGTAGGTGAGAAGCTGAAACTACTAATCTGCTGTATGGTTTTCTGTTTTTGACAGCTGGTTCTGTGAATACTTGTGGAGAACAGATTAGTTTATTTGGTCAAAAATATTGTTTTATCTCTATGTAATGGATTTGCAGTAGACACAAGACAAACATGCAAACTAGAGGCAAATTTGATTTAACAAAAAATCTTATGCTGGCTCTTATTACATGCCAAACAAATTAACTGGAATTCCAGCCTGAAAATGTAGAGATTTCTCTCCCACGTTATCCTCAAAGAATGTTGACCGAGTGTATAAAACACAGTAATACTATTTTCAACAGTAAATCATTTAAAGATTTTTCTTTACAATTCTATTGTGTCTCATTCCATCCCATGTTCTTCCTATGGTGTCTGAATGCAGAAAACGCTGAAAGATAATTTTTTAGTGGCTTGTAACATATAAATATAACATTATAATGCAACATTATTATCAGAACAACTTAAATATATAAAACTAACAATAATAATTTTTAAAAGTCACTTAAAATGACTCAATTACTGAAAACTTTCTGTTGTACTACCATTAATACAATTAGTTATGATTGAATTATCAAGTTTTCTCCCCCCTTTGTTTATGAAAGAGCGAAGCTTATGTCATTTAAAGGAGACAAAGCTCGTGGGATCTTCTCGTTTTCCATTTCTTTCATGAGACTGACACTGGGATGAATTTTATGTCGAAGCCGCGCAGAGGAAGTGCTCTCTCGCAGTTTCTCTCGGTTTGACGCTTGGTGGAGGCGAGAGGGAGGCAGAGTAGGGCGACGGCGGGGAAAGGGAGGACTGCCGGCGGGGAGCCACCGAGGGAAACAGGGATGTACAGTAAACACAGGCAGAAAAATGCCCAAATATCACCGGCAAAAAATGGACGTTTGCTGTTTTTGCTTTTTCTTCTGCTGAACGGCCAACTGGAAAGAGCCAGTGGAGAGACAGGAGAACAAGGTAAAGAAAAGAAGGAGCGAACATGCTGCTGGAAAACTTCTTCCAGTGGCTGCAGTTTCCTTTAGAGCTCCGTGGCTTAGTGTGGAAACAACTAGATGTAGACAGTAATTTGTGTAGCTTAAACAAATAGAGTAAGTGAACTGGTGAAACGATTTAGAGCGACAGAGCTCCAACTTTTATCAAACGGAACGCGCGCCCCAAGTTTCACCCTTCAGATTTTCTCGTTCAGAAAAGATTTGATTAAGACGCGAAGCCGCGAGAACCTGACAGCCTTCGATGAGATTTATCAATCTGAGGCCGAAACACGGGTTCATAACCGCACAATAACCGCTGCCATCTTCATCCGCTGCTCTCTCTGTTCCACAAAGAGGAAGAAGGTTTTTAAAAAAAAGTTTAGGCGGTTATGGCGAAATTACGCTTTAGAGTTATTCCATGATATCACTTTTTTGTTTTCAAAAATGAGCAATATTGTTTATAAACGGGAACCAAACATTTTTCGTTCTCTGTTTCGCACTAACACTGTTCAAATTTCAGCTGGATTTGAATATGCGTTACCATCTTTGAAACATCTAGAGACACTACAGTTATCTTAACAACTGAGTCACTTTATGAAATATGCCTTAAAGAACTCGCTTCTTTACAAACGTTCAAACTTTTCCTTTAGTTGAAATAAGGAGGCAGCTCCTTCCACTGTGTCCATAAAAGGCAGAGTTCAGAGTGAAGCTGACACACCACTAAGGAGCACAGATTCCCATACAGCTGAGGGCATTTCTTGACAGTTTACTGATATTTCTGCCAACTCTGAAAATGTATTTTGTCTTTATCTCTGCTTTGTTGCAAGTTTACAACGTCTATGTTCTGTACTTCTGTACGGTACTATGCCATAGTCTACAGCTCCTCCCTTTACTCAGAGGAGAAAGCTAACTGTGTAACCGAACAGCATCATGACCCTCTAGTCATGTGAACCTAAATACCACAGAGGTTCACAACACTTGAACAATATACTCTATTGAAAAAAGAAGAGTATATATGATGTAGTTAAGCATGACCAGCGTGAGGCAAAGCAGACTATGTTGCTGCTAAGTACCCCATCAGCAGCATTGTGCTGTTCTTTATGGAATAACACTGAATCATAATCAGGCTCTCAGCAACACTACCACACTCCAAGGAGGGACTGGTACCTGTCTCCAGAGGTCATTTGGTGAGTCCATTGCAATTGTGCAATGATTCTCCATATTTTATTTCCATACAGCTTAATTTGTTTTTCTTTTAAGCAAGGCAGGGAGGGACCTTCCTTCAGCCGTCTGTGTTCATCTAGCTGAAACTCTGAAAACACTCTGAGGTTCTGCACCAATAAAGTCCAAGATGTGGGGACTTGGGTGAAAGTAATAAATTATTGTTATTAAGTATGACCTAGACCTATCTTCTGTTGCTCTTCCGGCCATGACAGTCAACTGCTGTCTAAGGAACAGGAAGTCTCCTGAGCTGAGCCCACAGCATGGTGGGTTGCTAACAGCTGTGGCTGGTGTTTTATTCACATTGGAGGAGTGTAAAGCCAACACTGACTTTAGTTGGGAATTGGACAATTTAATATACTTAATCAAAGTGAATTGAAAATGAATGAAGACCTGTATGAACCCCTCCCCCCATGCTGCTTTCTGCTTGTCAGTTGTACTTTCCTTTAATCTTGGCCATCTCATCAGAAAGGTTTAAAAAGCCTTCCGAACTCCTAGTGCACCCTCTTGGGTTTTCTCTACAGTATCTGTCTGCAGCATGGCTCATTTAGCATCAACTGTGCTCAGCCCAGCCAGAGGATGGGCTCCACATGCTTTGCAACGCGGGTTCTGTTCTCCGAGCCCACAGGAATCTTTCTGGCAGTTTTTGAGAACTGTTGCAGGCTTTTTTATTTGTGGGGTTGCTGGTGGTAGTAAACAGGGACTTGCTGCGTAGCTGGCAAAAAATGTTGCTGCTGGTAGAGCTGTTGTGTGTTTGTTACTTGTACAACCTTCAGAAAGGCTTTTCAAGCCTCCTCTGGTCTACGCTGTGGCCTTCTCTGGTCATTATCCAGTTTCCTGCTGTAATGTTTATGCTTAGTGAATCTTCAGTGTGTACAGTAGATGGAGAACTTCCAGAGAGTTTCTCGCTATGCTTTAATTCTGTAATAAAAGAGAGCTTGAATAAGCTTGAATTTTGAAAATATATAGCATTTGTCATAGTTTTATGCATTAACCAGCCTGGGAATACACAGATATTTTGTTAAGTGGTTTTTTTAATGTGTAAATAACCAGCCACAGTTCAGGTTTAAGTGCTCCAAAATAACAGGATATCAGTCCCTGCAGACTCACTGTCTGGTTCACTAACTGTCACTAAAGTAATGAGCTTAATAAGGTCTTGGATAATAACAACTAAACCTGTAGCGTCATTGAACTTTATCAGTTTGCTTTGCATGTTGAACAAATTAGTTTTATGACATTTAATACATTTCCTGGTATGTATTAAATATACCAGGAAATAACACCATTTCCTGGTGTTATTTTTCCTGGTGTTATTTTTTAAAAGGAAGCAGCCTGTAAGCACACAGATTCAACTCACAGCAGAGTTCGTCCCTGGAGACTTGAATGTGGAGATGTGATCTCTGCCTCATGGAGACATCAATGGTTTGATTATATCTCCTCCCTGGAGGAAGAGCAAAAGGACAAGCCACACGCAGCTCAAAGGAGGGGCGCTTGCATCTGATTTTAATGTGTGACCTTTGTGTCTCTGTTGTGAAGAGACGGACACTTTAAATCACTTTTTAGCTTTATTGAACTAACACCAGACCCCAACATAAGCACTTACGGGAGGGTAACTTACTAGGCCCTTTGTTTTCTCTCGGTGTAACATGCAAGGCGACATTGCAGGAACAGAAAATCTCCAAGGGAAGAAGAAAAAAAACTCAGATTTATGACATTGATTGGTTATACTGAGTAAGTGAGAGCTTAAATACCCTCAGACTCAGCTCCTGTGGTAAATAGTGCATACAGAAAGGTTGTGTCCTTTTCTACACAGCAGAACACAAGATCAGCCTCAGACCATTTTGCTAAAACTAAGGTAAAGAAAATTTTGATTTATTTAGTCAATTTTATGACTCAATTAAAAAGGAGTTATCGTTTCACTGAGATACTATCCATTCATCGCCTGATGAATATTATCTTCAGGAGTCGGCAATATTTGATTTTTTTTAGAATTAAATTACGATCAGAATGTTATTATTAATTCTCTCTACAAAACCACAGCTTTTAAAGTAAAAAAAACAAAGCAGTTAGAAAAACTTTTCTACCTTTTTAATTAGTTTGTACAACTTTGCCGACTTGTGTCAACATGTCCAGCTAACATTTCAGAAATATGGTGCCAGTCTTAGACCCACTAAGACTGGCACCATATTGTTTGCAGTAGTAATTGAAATATTTTCATAAATTCACCCTATTCTCACCAAAATATCTCCTTTATAAATATTTGTTGGGGAAACTAAAGATGGTTATTAACATTAGCATTGGCATGTCTGACATTGCTAGATTTTATTTTTACATATTGGTACTGGTGCTAACTTAAACTGGGCTGGTATTAATAACTGATGTTTATTTTCATTGTTTTACTGTTTATGTTTGTGTGTCTGGAGTGGGGAGGATGTTGGTCACATGGTGTTTGTTTGGTCATGTGACAGTGATAGCGATGCAGTGCTGAGTGGCGGGGTGCTTAGCTGAAGCAGAGAAGCAATGCCTGGCAGAGTTATCGTTTTCTCAGGGTAAATATCAGTTACTGGTGACAACTACCAGCACAAATGTTCACATGGAAGCATCTGCATGGATCACAGAAATATACTGTGGGTAGATTACTTTAGGTTCATATTACTTTAGGTTCAGAGCTCTCTATATGCCAGCATGTGGTTCTATAGCCACCTAAAACATTAAATCTTCATCTTATTGTTGTGGTTGTCTTGCTGAGTGTTATCAGATTTTATGCTGGTTGTCTAACACATTTAAGGAGCTGGTAACCAGTTAAGCCTTTTTTTTTTTAAAGTTTTTTTTTTGTTTCTAGTGGCCTGTATTTGAAAGTGTTATGAAAGGAAATAGGGTAATGAAAGAGAGGGAAGACATGCGGCAAAGGTCACCAGACCAGGAATTGAACCTGCGAGGGCCACTTCAAGGACTAAGGCCTCCTTATGTGGGCTGTGCTTAACTCCTGTGCCACCACAGCACCAATAGCTAGTTAAACTAGGCTATTCTGAATAGTGCTAGCTGTTTATTTTCTTACTATTAGTTGCTAGGCAGCCAGTAGCAGCTGGAGGAGAGTAGTTTTTTATTTAGTTTTTTTTTTTTTTTTTTTTAACTCTTGTAGTTTTCCTCTGTTCTGAGTGAGGACACAACATCTTCAGAAATGTTGCTTGTGCAGCTGTAAAGTCCAAAGTTCAGAGACATATAACAGTTATTGTTCTTTGATGGCTGAAATATCATTTCCTTACCTTCACTGCTGTCAGCTGCAGCACATCTGAGATGATGCTTTGGCTGGGCAAGTAGAAATTGAGTTTTTAGAAATCATGGTCATAATAAAAATAAAAAATTGTATTTTTTTATTTTCAATCAGTAACTATACTGATACTATACTACTTCCATAGTTATCATTAAAACCAAAGTGTTTTTTTTTTTCAAAAAAAGAAAGGAATAAAAACTAAACTGATACATCTGAACAAGAGCATAGAACTGCTTCATGTAGAATGTGTCTTACAGCTGTTCTCTAACACTGTACAAGGGGATTGACCACAATGATGCATTCAGGGACTGTTTGAAGACTAAATAATCAGTAAGGTTGGAGTCATATTTAGGCATACTAAGGTATAAAAAACAGGAATGATCATGCATGATTGCATTTAGGAGCTTTTAATCAAGACAGCAGTAAAATGTACTAATGCACCATCCTGACACATTCACATATACAGCAACAGAGAGCTCTGTAAGAGTGCA